ATTGATTTTCTGTCAAAAAATGTTCAACTTGTATGTGGGAAGGTGGATGAAAGGGAAAGGTAGAGTCAAAGACATAAAAAAAAATGTAGGCAGAAAGGCAGGCAGAAGCTGCATAATAGGCACCTCCGTTTTGAGATTGGACTATGATATATGATTCATTTCATCACAGTATAATGAAATGAATTAACAAGAATTAGATAGGAAGTATCCAGGTTCAACCAGTCATTGGATAAGGGAGATGACATCAGTTTCACAAAACAACATAACACCTGTAATAAGTCCATTTCCATTTAACACAGCCTTTCTTATCGTCATATATGGATAATCTTTGCATTGGTATGTAAGGCCTTTCCTAGTTATTTCTATTTTGTGTTCTCGTCTCATGCCCTGTACCCCACCTCCTGTTTATTTAACCCAACATCCCATGCTACCATTTTTTCTCAAACTGTCAGTCAACCTATATTTTCATTTGTACTATTTATTTGCATAGTTAAGAAAATAAACCAGATTTTATTGGGATCAAGGAGCAGTTGATAACAGACAGAGAGAGGAAGCTGTAGAAATGGGGTAAAGGAATGGGCAATGGAAAAATAGATGGAGGAGGACTGAGTCAATCATGGATGAGAGAGATACTAATGGAAACAAATGTGATGGACTAAGCTGAGTAGGATAGTTGGGAGTCAAATCAAGTCAGGGACAATTTAGAAAAGAAAACAAAAAAGAGAGGACTTGACAGACTCATTTTGGGGGGGGTGGGGATTTAACAAACCAAAGAGTGTAAGAGGAAACAGATTGGTTTGCTTGCTTTTTGTGTGTCTGTGAAATTGTTAAACTAACTGAGTGGCAAAAGTTCAAATCATAAAACAAAATTAAAGATGAGAGTTTCAATGCAATGTGTGATGGCCATGTTACATTAAAGGTCAGAAGTTCGTTGTCATTACGATTTTTATCATTTCATTTATTTGATAAAAAATAGAGTACAAACTGTAATATTGCAAAATATTATTACAATTTAAATAAACTGTTTTCTATTTTAGTATATTTTAAAAAGTAATTTATTCCTGTGATGGCAAAGCCATTTTTGTTTTCTCAAGGGCCCTAAATTATTCTAATATGCTGATTCTCATCTTTTCTCACATTTTTGTGACAATCATGCTTTTTTTCTTGCAGGCATGGAGACCGTCTCAGGGGAGGTAGGTTGGGAAGGATCCCTCCATGCAACCGTTGCATTGTCTAACTTCTCCTCCTCCTCATTCTCTGAGCATACTGGACTCAACAGCACTTTCAAAGGAGGATCACACTTCTGGTTGATGTCTCAAAACAGCTCAATAAACCCCACTCAGATGCCCGGTCCGGTCAGGGTGCGGGACATGTCTCTGGCTAAAGCTGAGATTGGAGTTCTGGGCCTGGTTCTCGCTCTCACAACACTAGGGAACAGTTTTGTACTGTGGGTTCTGTTGAGGCGGCGCAAATACAACGCACCCATGCACCTATTTATGGTCAATCTGTGTGTTGCAGACCTTGTGGTAGCGTTTTTTCAGGTGAGTTGAACTTTGTCTAATGCTTAGTGTGGCATTTTGTCTTTTATGTGACTTGTCAACAGCAGTACACTAATGTTTTGCAGGTGCTCCCGCAGCTAGTATGGGATATCACAGAGAGATTTCAAGGTCCTGATGTGCTGTGCCGCTCAGTGAAATATCTGCAGATTGTGGGAATGTTTGCATCCTCTTACATGATTGTTGCTATGACAGTGGACCGCCATAATGCCATCTGCTGCCCCCTGCAGGCTTACAAAGGAGGGGCAGTTTCACGCTGGAATACACCCATCATGGTAGCCTGGGGTCTAGCCCTTGTTCTCAGTGTGCCACAGGTACTAGTTGTAAATATAATGTAAGGTTTATGCCTACTACACTTAAAATGTTAGGTAGTATCAGTCAGTGAATATGCATTCTTAAAGATATAGATCACCCGTAAATGAAAAAAAAAAAAGTTTTTTTTCTTCATCTGAACAGATTTGGAGAAATGTTGTATTACATCACTTGATGACCAATGGATCCTCTGCAGTGAATGGGTGCCATCAGAATGGGAGTCCAAACAGCTGATAAAAACCCAAGTAATCAATAAGACTCCGGACCATTGATTAAAGGGGTCATATGATGCTGCTAAAAAGAACATTATTTTGTGTATTTGGTGTAATGAAATGTGTTTATGCTTTTTAAAGTAAAAAAAACACATTATATTCCACATACTGTACATTATGATACATATACTGATTTGTAGTCGTGTCCTCTTTTGGAAGACCAAACAAAGTAGTTTCGCTTTCACAACGAAACACACGGCGGCCTAGCGTGAGCTGAGGCCAGGCTAGAGTGAGCAGAGGCGTGGGCTTGAGAGCGGCTTTGGATTTGGATTTGGATTTGAGACTTTAGTCTTTGCAACTTTACAGATCTTCTTTATGCACCAAGAGCTTGTAACACTCCAAAGAGAAAGGAAAAATTGAAATCGCATCATATGACCCCTTTAAGTTCTTGAAGTGAAAAACTGTGTGTTTGTAATAAACAAATCCATCATTAAAGGAGTAGTTCATTTCCAGAAGATTCTGTCATCATTTACTCACCCTCCACTTGTTCCAAACCTGAATGAGTTTTGTTCCTCTGTTTAACACAAAAGATGATATTTTGAAAAATGTTGGTATCCGAACAGTTGATGGGCACCATTGACTTCCATAGTATTTTTTTTCCTACTATGGAAGTCAGTGGTGCTCATCAACTGTTCGGATACCAACATTTTTCAAAATATCAAGTGGAGGAACAAATGGAGGGTGAGTAAATGATGACATCATTTTCATTCTGGAAGTGAACTACTCCTTTAA